CCGTGATACTTCTTTACAGCATTCTTCTTCTTCTTCTTCTTCTTGCTGGAAATACGTACAAACATAAATCTCATATTTATACTAATAGGAATTAAGTACTACTTAGATATATGAAAATACATAAGACTAAATTCATTGTTCTTCAAGATACATCTTTAACTATCCAAATTCAGGAACTTCACTTTCTAGATGACAAAAGTCAGATTCACCTTATTTTAATTTGAATTATCAAACATAGCCTCATTTGAAATAAGAATACATCTCTCGTTCCATATGTTGATGATACACAGATAGACCACCAAAAACAAAATGTCACGAATTAAAAGAGTATTTACTTGGTTGTTGGGTGTTAACATTTGGCTAATTAGTAATCATAAGAATGCAAGAGTCTTATGTTTCTTTCACATAAAATGATCTTCTTCTTTGAACATGTAGAATCCACATTTGAAATAAAGCTAAACCCGAGTTAGAAGTAATCTATTGCTGTAGAAGAAAAAAAATTATGAATAAATTTAATAACCTCGCTTTTTTTTTTTTTTTTTTAAATGTTGTGATATTGCTCCAAAAGAACCAAAAAATATGGGGAATATGAAAATAAAAAATACATCACATAATATATAAACGGCATAGTAGGTGTATGAAAATTAAAAATATCATGGTCAACCAAATAATGAAAGAGATGAACATATCTAGAGGCATATGGCTGTCATACGGGAAGTCATTGTGAACGGAAATTATGCATGAGTTGTACAAAAAAATCAAAATCGTTAGCAACTATTATGTGATGTGAAATTTAAACATATGATAAAAAATAAATCTAAATAAATAATTGTATTGTTTACCTGTAGAAAGGAATTGCTTATGTTGTAAAGTGGTTGTAAAACAAAGAAGAAGACGAACAAAATTTTAAGTGAGCAAGAAGAAGAAGCTAGGCAAAAAAAAAAATGATTTTTGGTGGAATTCTCATGAGTTTAAATAGAACAATGAAATTAGTAGGGGTTGAGATCATGGTATGATAACTTTTACCATAATAAATTAGTGGGTGATTAGAGTGGAGAAGAAAAATAAAATATAAATATAAATAATTAGAAACATACCTACGGTATATGCAAATTTAGGAGTTAGTGTTTAAATTAGAAATTTATTTATTAGTGTGTAAATTAGACATTTATTAATTTACAAAATTGACCCTAGGTTTAGGTCTAGGTTTTAGTTCAAAATATCTTCCTTTTATATATAAGATTTTCAGCATATATGCAAACACCCCAACTTTTAGAAATAAGCACTTAGAGCCTGTTTGGCTAAGCTTATAAGCTCCTAAAAACATCTTATAAGATGTTTAGGAGCTTATAAGTTGTTAAAAGGTGTTTGGTAAAAAAATTGCAAAAGATCTTATTGTTTCCAAAAATAAGCTGTTAGGGAGCTTATAAGATGTTTTTAAAAAAGTACCTCTACCCCACCTTTTTTCTTTAAGATCTTATTTGCTTCTTTACTAAAACACTTAAAATACAAAATTACCCTCAAATACTTTATTATATTACATGAATACTAATAATATTTATATTTTATCAAAACAACGTATTCTTTTGTAATCAAGATTAATAATTAGTTAAATATAATTATCGTAATTATCATAATAATTGTAAAAAAAATTATTCTTTATTTATATTTTATATGTATATAAAAATACACGAATATTCTTATTATCTCCATAATAAATTATATTTCTTTCATCTAAAAAAAAATTATATTTCTTTTACAACTTTTATTTTATATTATTATATAATTTTATATTATTATTATTATTTGAAAAAATAATTTGTAAATATTATAATAATATTTTAGGAACAAAAGTATTTGAGTCAAATAAGTTTAAGAATTATACTGGCGTCATGTACTTTTTTGTCATTATAGCAATAAACAGACCTTTTATTTCCAAACACCTGAACAACTTATAAAAACAAAAAGTAACTTATAAGCTACATATCCAAACACCTTAAAAAATAATTTTTAAAATAAGATCTAACAGCTTATCAGCTCCGAAAACATCTTATCAGATGTAGGAGCTTATAAGATGTTTTAAATAAGCTTAGCCAAACGGGCTCTTAGTATCAGCTTAACTCACAATTACTAATTTTTGCTTTTGAATAATCTTTAGACATTTATTAATTTACAAAATTGACCCTAGGTTTAGGTCTAGGTTTTAGTTCAAAATATCTTCCTTTTATATATAAGATTTTCAGCATATATGCAAACACCTCAACTTTTAGAAATAAGCACTTAGTATCAGCTTAACTCACAATTACTAATTTTTGCTTTTGAATAATCTTTTGCAAACACCACCTAAATACTAGGAGATGATCTAAAATTCATGCTATAACAGAATGAAGTTGAAGGCAGATTCTTGATAAAAATAATAAGCACATCTTGGCTGCTCGACAACTCAAACGGCCGCTATTTACCTCTATACCGTAACTATAAAACAAAGTTTTGCTCTCTCGATTTCGTTTCGAATATCATAGTTTCTAGGAAATAACACTACGAGATATCACAAGACTCTATTCACAGTACCAATTAGTTGCTACTGTGGAGTGCTGAAGCAACTGTATGAACTGGAGGACTTGAAACTGTAGGTAAAGGTTGCAAAGAATTCGTCTGATCCTGAGAAGCGTTCATGTTTATCTTTATCCTGCAATCCAAGAACCCGAACGATGAATTTTCCAATTTCCGATTACGGAATTTAAATTTCAGCTGCGTAGTTCACTTTTGCATCAAAGTATTAGTATAAACTTTTTTTTACCTGTTGTGTATGTTCACATATTCATCAGTTTCGTCGAGTATCTCCTCCTAGCAAAAGAAACAGAGGCAGATTCTTAATGAAAATCGAAAATAAAAAATAATTAAAAATAAGGGTAAATATCAACTACACCGCTGAGGTATGGTTAAATTACGAAAAAACCCTTCTTGTTTGGATAATTACATCTACACCTCCACCCTTATGGTGTCAAATTCAACATATTCATCTAGATTCCGTAGAATGTGCTCTAGTTTGTACTTGTTGTGTGTAAAAATGCAGTTTTTGATGCACAGTCTGATACATACAAGCCAAAAAACACATCTTATGATCATCTTACTTCAAAATGTGGAGCTCGAATGGAATAAAACGGGTACAAAAGTGATAATATTCCATATAAATAAGAAGATTCCACTAAATTTGAAACCGCAATGGTGGACTTGCAAGAAAATTTATAGTTGAGTGGTTGTTGTAATTACCCAAACAAGAGGGGGATTTTCGTAATTTGACCATACCTCAGAGGTGGTTGTAATTTACCCTAAAAATAATTACTTTACTATTTAAGGATTAAATTGTGAATTATAGAAGTACCTGAAGAAGCTCCTCAATAACATCTTCCATGGTAATGACACCAACTACTACTTGATCGGGTGAAAATTCGGGAATCGGAGATAAATCGAGATCTAAAATGCAAAAAGAACAGCCTCTATGTCTTTTCTTGAAAGCAGGGGAGCTTTTCTTCACTTGTTCGTCTGCCTTTTTCAAGATCGAGTCAGCGTCATGTGAAACCGAAAAATTCTGATAATCTGCGATAAGATAATAAATATATCCGGTCCTCGTTAGATAGTAAGCACGAATTTCATGCATAAATGCAAAAAAAAAAAAAGAAAAAGAAGATAGAATCATTCGGCAGATTCTCGACAATATCTATACCTTCTTTGGCTTTCTGCAAAGTGTCTTTCGTTTCTTTCGAATCCTTATACACAACGGCAAGGTGGCTGTGACCCTTTTGAAATTCATTCAAAATATCGTAAAGGGGCAAGTTTTCCGATACCCTGAGAATTATACAAGATAAAATAGATATAAAAAACGGGGAACGAATATAGATTCTCCTTAAATCTATGCACAATAAAGAACAGCTTATAATTGCAGAATCAATACTGCCTTGTTATATTTAGAATAAATTTTTTTTCTCAGTCGAAGAAAACCATTTCGGTATCTTGAAATATCAAGAATTTGTAAATTGAAATTAGGACAAAGAGTAAAGTTTGTACTCACCGAGGAATTTTTCTAATTAACATTTTTCTTAGAGGAACCGGATCATCAGGGTCAACTGCCAGAAGATTCTTTACCTGCACACATTAAACGAAAAAAAAAAAAAAAAAAGCAGCGATAAAATCATCAGCATTTATGAAATGATTCCAAAAAAAAAATCGAATATTTTGTTTGTGAGCAAGAAGAACTATAACTTACCAATATGAGTCCGATGATATTATTCGGATTTTTGTAGTAAACAGGAACTCTACTGTGCCCCATTGTCATTATAGCGTTTAACGTCTCCCTGTAAAATGATTACATACGAGGAAGTAAATTCGGAGACGGGAAATTAGAAATAATTATACTAATGCGTAAAAATTAATACTTATAGAAAAAATGATAAAAACTCACAAAGTAAGAGTTCCATCCAAATCGAGGGAAAATGCCTTCGTAATAGGGGTCATTGCGTCTTTTGCAGTCTTCTCGGTCAACTCCAATGCCCCAGCAATTATCGTTGTTTCGTCGTGCGTCAAATCACCACCTTTTCCAGCCTACTACCGGAAAATCAATATATTAAATTAAATTCAAAGGATTGGACTAATTTACAAAACTCGTAGACTCAATACTTCACCTCGTTTCCATGGAAATCAACGAAAGTTTTCAACTCGGCTCTACGAAGTAATGCAGCATGCCCCTTACCTAGCATCCAATCGAGAAACTACAAGCAAAAAAAGTCCTTTTAAGACAACATTTTTTTTTCCGTACAATCAAGAAATAACATAGTAAAAATCAAATTTTTATTTTTTTATTTTTGTATTACCTTACTAATCGGATAAGCGATAGGGTAGAACAGCCAAAGGAGAAGGCGGACAAAGGGAGCCACAGTTGCTCCGACGGTTAATCCATATCGGGTGCAGATTGCTTGAGGCAGTATCTTCAATAAAGAAATTGCGAGATGAAAATTAAGTTACTAGATTGAAAAAACAAGAAACCCGCAGTAAAATCGAACACTGTTTCGTTTCAGTTGTTGTCGGATTTAACCAACCTCACCAAACAGGAGGATGAGTGTGACAGATAGCAGAACTGCTGCCCATGGAGGGACGAGCTTGTCCAAGAATATGGGTAATGACTACAAGCAAAATAAAGACAGTCGTAAAAGCCTCGTAAACTAATGAACATATAACTGTTTGTTCGAGGAAATAAATTAGTCTCGTGTAAGTGATATTCGACAAACCTCCATCGCTAGAGAGTTGCCGATCAAGAGTGTGCATAGCAAAAGATGTTGATTTTTCACCACCGGAAGTATTTTAGCTGCCCAAAAATAAAATAAATGAATATCACTTTTATACAAACGCAAACGTATGCAGCGGTTAATGTCGATGGAAGTACAATTATACTAATGAAGGATCCAAAATAAAACGATTAGAGCTTGATAAGAGTGTCGAATTCTTTTATGGAATCGTAAACACTCGAATTGTCAGCAGCAACTAGATTAGCTCTTACCGCTAATCCCTTAAGGCCTCGTTTGGTTGCCAAGATACGATTAGCCAAGATATTCGATGATCCAATAAAAAAACACGCCTAGAAGGCAAGATAAGCCATGATAACATAATATTTGCAGGTCGACCCAGCAAGTTATTGGGATACCAAACATCAAACAAAGGCCTATTATTTAGTTAATCATGGCTAATCTCCCCAACCAAATGAGGCCTTAAGGACATTATTAATCCCAAATACTTAAAACAAATTAGTCAAATTAATTACAACAATTAATTTGACTAATTACAAAAATTACGAGCATGCAATAAATTAAAATCAACAACAATTCCAATAAAGGGGCAAACATCAAATGTACCTCACACATTCTAATTCGAAGAAATTCGAGAAAAATCGGAAAAAATCAAACAACAACATAATTATTACACACTCCCCAAATCCCAATTAAGTGATGAAACAGAAAAAA